ACGAGGTGGAAGTTCAGAGAATAGCGAGGAGGCTGGGGGGCATCCCACGCTGGTAGACTGAGAGGTCATCCCCCAAGTTCCAACCGTCATCAGATGATCCTTCAGAACGGCCGCGGGGAGTTTGCATAGGGACAATGGAAGTCATGGCAAAGAGCGGATGAGAAACGTAAACTTATAGGGAGAGTTGGAGGCTTAGAGAGAGAAAGCAATCTGGCAGAATAACGACCAAGGAAGGAGATAGGACAATTCCCTCTTGGTAGCGGGGTATTAATAGGCAAATCACCGCTTTTTCCCGAATCAGGGAAGGACACGTGGCGGACCGTGTTTGGTACATCCTGCGGCTGGTGCGACGCTTCGAGATCCGTGCTACCAGATGCGCATGCCAAGGACACCTTCTCCGCAAAAAGACGAACGTCCCCATTCCCTAAAAAGAGGAAGGAAGGAATAAGTAAGAAAAAAGAACCCGTAGACGGAGTAAGGGGAAAGGGTCGTTACTCGCTAAAGGCAGAGAGGAACGGACAAGGGATGATGCAGATAAGCAAAATGAACCATCAATCAACAATGAGCAAAAGGGAAGTCTTTATTCTTCAGCTCTACTGGCCCGAACATACAAGTAAGCAAAGACAGAACAGTTATGGAATCACGCCAGGAAACCATGGGCAGGGGAGCGCTGGGCAGAGGACTGCGGCTCTTCGAGCTCGTCAAAAACAGGCTCGGGGTCAGGGGATCAGGAATCTCACCCCTCTGCACGGCTTCGATCCGCCACTGATCCCGATCAATTTTTCCCATAACCCGCCGGAGTTCTGCATCCTTCGTATAGTCCTCCACATTGAAGGAGGGACAGCCGACCAGAGGAAGGACACCCTTGAGGTCCTTCACACCCTCATAGTACCCCTTGGCAAAGGCGTCATCAGCAAGCTCTACGAGCCACTCATTACCGAGCGCAGTTGCCTTTAAGAGCCGCACCCCGTGAACCAAACGCTCCTTCTCCGGCATAGGCTACAGCTCGGCCTCGAAGACCTCCCCCGCGGCCCCCCCGGCAGTATTCATGCGCGGCCTTGAGGAATTGGGACGTCTTCTTGAACTCCTCAACATTAAGGACCAGGGTCAGAACGTCGCCAGAGGTGTCCCCGCCCTCAGGACTCGGAAAAAGGGTCAGCGGCAGGGACAAAGGAGATTCTGTGCTTCTCAGCTAGGGCCACCTTTGAAAGAAGATCTTGTTTCTCTTTATGGCTCTGGTCTCGGGCGGCCTGGAGCTCCTGTTGGGCCTGGACCATAGCAGCCTGGAGTTTTTCCATCTTGGCATGGGCAGCCTCCCTCAGCCGCACGGCCTCCCGCTCCTTCTTCAAAGCCGCATCAGTTTTCCTCTTGAGCTCGGCAACATCTTTCTCCCGAGCGGCCCTTGCCTGCAATAGTTTCAGACCAGCCTACAAGGGAAAATAAGGAATTAAGATGAGACAGATGGCAGACCAAGTAGAAAGAGGGAGGGAGAAGATGACAGGAATGTACCTCGAGGTTCAGAAGCAGGGCATGATCAACAGAATCGCCGGAAGAACGGTCCGACAGCTCCATCCCGGCCTGAAGGGCCATGTCCTTCCAGATCTCAGAAATCGGACAGCCTGCAGAGGGCACCACGGTGTTAGTGGGCTTGGGGCCGGAGGGCTTAACACGCTGCCTCTTCGTTTTCTTCCCCTTGTCCTTTTCTCTACCAGCAGGGATGGCGACACTGATCGGCTCCACATTCAGAACCTGGTTGTCTTCAACGTGTCGGGCCTCAGAACTCTGCCTAGTCATTACAGCGATCAGATGCTGCTCGGCGACTGCAACACGCTTATCCGCCTGAGATGTGGCGGAAGAGTTGGCTTCAGAAGACTGGTTGGCCCCTCGGGCCTTCTCCTGCGCCGCTCGTAGCGTAGCGGCCTTGGCCTCACGGCGAGCTTTCATGGCTTCACGATCCATCTGATCATGTGTAGGGGGAAGACACGAAACAAACAAACAAGAGTCTTAGAACCGGACGGCGCGAATCTCAAAGGCACTCACCTCAGGGAATGGACCGCCCGGGCCCACAAGATAAACACGAATGAATGCCAATCCAGGGATCACGAGCGGTACCTATCCCTGCATCAGAGAGAGCCTGGATGGTCAGGAATTCCTTAAGCCCCTTGACACCGCCCAGCCTCAGCTTATCTATGGCGTTTTGCAATTCTTGAGTCAGCTCCGGCGATGTTATCTTCAGGGGGTACCCGTTCCACCTCACAGGAAGTCGCTCGTCCGAATAGCGAAGGAAGAAGAAACGGTTTTTCCAATCATGAATGGAAGTGGGGGCGCCCTCGAACAGCTTTCTTTTGGGACGTGCGGCCACACTCAGAAATCCATCGGCATTTTGGGGGGCAACTTGGAAGAAATAGTGGAAAAGATCCAAACTAGGGGTAAGTCCTTGCGATTTGCAGCGAACAATAAAGGCGGAGATGAGACGATAAGAGTTCGGCATAAACTGAGCTGGAACAACGTTGTAGCAACCAAAAAAATCGAAATAAAACTGACGAAGTGGGAAGTGCAGTCCGGCCTTTACGGAATCCATATGCACCATAACCATTCCCGGACGTCTTCTGAAGAGATTTTCCACACCCCGGAGGCTGTAATAGAACGGTGGAGGGAGGAGAGTTTGCAGCTCCTTCAGGGCCCTCCTAGAGAAGACCTGATCAATCACAGCGACATTGGGGATAAGCACGAGGTGCCGGTGTTGGTCCATAGGGAAACCGAGCTTGAACACATGAAGGTCGTCCCCTTCTTCGGCCTCTTCACCGGAGTAATAGTCGGCAGGACGCTCCGCCTCCGCATCTGGGTGAACCACCGCCGCTGCGGCATTCTCAGGAACGGCGTCCATATCAATACCCCCCCTTACATTCAAAGGGCGGCCTCATTCGCCGCCATGTGGCCCACCACCGTGGAGGCGCTGGAGTGACCAGGACTACTTGTCCTCTCTGAAGAACGGGACCTAGAGCCCACCGCAGAGGAAGAACCGGCAGAAGAATCGGTGGAAGAACCAGAGCCAGTGTCCGATCCGGAGGAGATTTCCATGGAATAGGCCATGGGGAAAGATTGCGAGGGGAAAGAAGAGGAGTTAAAATCGAGAAATTACCTTTCAGAACTTGGAAGCAGAGACGAACGCGAGAACCGGGAACACTTGCAGGGGAGCGCCTGAATTTGCGGAAGGAAGCAGAAGATGGAAAATCTTTCCAGCGATCCCGTTATCTATAGGGGGATACGCCCCTCCAATGGCCAACCCACGGATGACATGTGGCAAGAAACGTACCCAAGGACACGTGTCACGCTGAGACGGACAAGTGCGAAATGATTAGTTTTACATCGGAAGTTGAACCGACCAGCATAACTGACACCTAGAGCCCCGTGAACAACGGCGGAGAAGCAACCGTCACATCGGGAAAGGAGGGCAGCGGTTCAAAGCAGTACGGTGAAAACGGTTACTTCCTTATATCCCGCGCAGGCTCGGAACATCAGAAGTGGGGGATTTGTGTTGGGTTAATGGCCCAATAAGGGCTGGCCCATCAACCCTTGAGGATCACCTACGAGCGTCCTACTAAAGGCCCAAGAAGAGGGTCAAGCACCAAGGGCCCGGAGACGTACGTAGTCCATCATCAGCCAGTACCAAGGCCCAAAGGTCGGGGGATGTATGTAGCCTATCACCGGGAGGTACCTAGGCCTTGGGTCCCTACGAGGTACTTGGGGACGGACGTCCCCACCTTTGCAAAGGGGACCAAGGGTGGCCCAAGGATAAGTCAGGGATGGTAGCCTCTCAACAGAAGACGAACGTCCTCTTTCCCCTTGATAAGGAATCAAGATCCCAACAGGAGACAGCGGCCAAGCCGTCGGGGACGAACGTCCGCACCCAATGGCGGGAAACCAAGATTCTGGCGGGAAGCGCATTAAATGCAGAAGATTTGATGGTTGGGATCATGTCGCTCACAGCCAGCCAATTCAATGCTCTCAACTACCCCTGGATAATATAAATAGCAGCATTTATTTCATTGTAGGGATTCGCAATTTAGCATTCAAGCACCCTAGCAGTAGTATCGGTTCTTAACATCTGTATCGTACGTTCGGTCCTTCGGCTTGTAACAGTTTGAGTGAGTAAATACAGTTGTGGCCCATTTTCCTGCTTGTTTTCCCGATCTTATTTGTCCTTTACCCATTCGAGACCCCCAGGTTACGTGTTGGGCATGTGGGTTGAGGGAATAAACCTCAACAATATATATTACATGTAAGTTTAGGCTACTTATCTCACACCCCTTCAAAGTAAGAGATATTTAAATTATTATGTCCTTTATTTAACACTAAATTTATATTTATGAAAGAAAAGTATATAATCATGGTTGTAAAATATGTATCAAGTTTTTATATAAAGTTGATCATATATTATACAGTACTACCTCCCATAGCAAAACAGAACGGTTATTTAGGCAATAATTAAATAAGTTATTTCGAGTATATTTTGAGAAATAATTTTAATGGGTATATATTATTATGCAGTCAGTATTAATAACCGTGATATTATAAATGCATTATTTTTAAGGGAAAATGGAAACTAATAATCCAGCCATTTAGCGGTCTTCTTGCAATAGTCCCACCTTTTGATTATTCATGAAGAATCCAACCTTTGCACCCCATCTTCATTCACTGGTCCCTGACCGATTTATGACCTGTTATTCCAAGTTATTTTCTTATCTTTGTAAAACATTATACCATAATCCCCGCCTTATAATCACATAATGTTTTGCAAAGATAAGAAAATAACTTGGAATAACAGGTCATAAATCGGTCAGGGACCAGTGAATGAAGATGGGGTGCAAAGGTTGGATTATTCATGAATAATCAAAAGGTGTGACTTTTATAAGAAGACCGCTAAAAGGTTGAATTATTAGTTTCTATTTTCCCTATTTTTAATATTTAACGATTAATTTATCACTTAAGATTGTTAATTGTTTCCTAAAATGGAAATGAGAACCTTTATATGGGACGTCCAAAAAAGAAAAGTCGAAACCTTCTAATGGGACGGAGGGAGTATTACATATAAGCAAAAAGGAAAAGGAAAATAGTCAAATAAGCCCTCCTGCTACTCCAAAAATGTCAATTAAACCCCTCAACAAAAAACACTCGATCAAACCTATGCACTCAAAAAAAAATCTCAAATTGGCTTTTTAGCCTGTAACCTTCCCGTTCCCGGTAAACTGCTAACGTGTGATATGATGTGGCTTTTTAAAACAAATTCTCTTTCTTTTACTTTTTCTTTCCCATCCCCTTTTCTTTTCGTTCTCTTTCTGGTTACTTCCTCTTGCGGGGTCAACCGTCGTCTTTCTTCCTCGCAAATCGCAACTCCACTTCTTTCCTCTACAGACTACAGCTCGCAGGCATTTCAGACGAGCTCTGTTTCTATCATGAATATGGTGAACGACTCACGCACATTTGAGGACCACAGAGACGTTGAGTGCATGGGTTTGATTGGGTGTTTTTTTAGTTGGGGGGTTTTTGGAGTAGTAGGGGAGGGGGCTTATTAGACCCATAACCGGCGGTTGATGGAGCACGCTACTTCACCTCATTGCTTGTGTGCAATATCAAATTAAGTACTCGTGGGAACCTACCTATACTATCATTACTTTAATAATAATGGTTGATGTTACTTGACCAACATCGTTAGCTTCAAGAAACTTAATCATCATTATGCTTTACATTGAAGTGCAAGTAATTTTCTTAATTCAAAGGATGAAGTAAGAAATGCTTTTCCCCATATTCACGAGTGAGATATATAAGGCTGGAAGGAAGAGAATTGGCATGGGGGTGATCAAGTCATCCCACCTCACCCTCTATATTATAGGTTTGTAATGGAGGGCGTAGAATTGTAGATGTTACAAGTCAAATCCAACTATGGATAATAAATTAGATTAGATGATGGGTTTGAGAATATTCACCCAATATTTATTTGCATATTCCAACGTCAGTATATATATGTTGACCCTTCTTATAACAAAAATATTATATTTAGTTTTTCTGTTTAGGTACACATTATTTCAAAAAATGAATTATCAATTGCAAAAATGAATTTTTCAAAATAATGTTGAAAAAATCCGAAAATAATCTTGGGTTAAAAGTATTTACGAAAATACTGCTTGGCTTGATCAGGGTTAGGCAAAGCCACCGAATTAAATGGCAACTTATAAGCTGTCAACTTGTATGGCGACTTATAAGTCGCCAATCTGCTTGGTGACTTTGCCTCTGCACCTCCAAGACACAAACAACAAAAATACAGCAGAAACAGAGCAGAAACCTACCAAAACACTAGGTCACAAACACAGTATAGAAACACAACAGAAACATGCCAACACACCAACACGGCAGAAACAAATGATTAAATAACTAATAACATAATACCCAATAGTTTGCAGGATTGAAAACATAATACTTTACATAAAAAAGTAAAGTATTTCAAAGGATTGAAAAAACTATTACAACATTCAACGTACATAAATAAATATAATAATGTTCATAACATAAGATGTAATGGAGACAGGCTACAAGTTTTCATGCTCTTCATTAGGGGTGGACTCGGGCCGGGCCAACCGGCCCAGAACCGAACCGGACCGGCCCACCATTGTGCGGGCCCAGACCGGCCCGGTGAACCGGTTGGTTGGCCGGTTCGGGCCACCCGGCCCGGTGGATTCTCGGTTCGGGCTCGGGCCCTTCAATAGGTGAACCGGCCCGGCCGGTTCGGCCCCGGGTCGGGCCAATTTTTATTTTTATTTTTTGAATTTTTTTAAGTTTTTGGGTTGGGCTGGGTATTTTGGACCATTTGAGGTGGTTAGGGTTGGTTTGGGGGTGAGGGGGAGGGTTGTGGGTTAAATAGGAAAAGCCCAAAAAAAAATATAACTGAGGCCCGGCCCGGACCCGGGGGTTACCCGGGCCAGTTCTGGGCCTCCCATACCTTGAACCGAGGCTCCGCCGGTTCAAGGCCCGGCCGGTTCAAGGCCCGAACCGAGCCCGGCCTGAACCGAGTCCATCCCTACTCTTCATGACCGTCTTCGTCATTCAAATGTGGTTGTGGGCGCATATGTCTGCATCGCTTATGTGGCTAAAGAACGACTCTATCACGGCTCAATGGCTGGGATGATGCAGCTGTACATGTAGATGTCGTAGAATACTGAGAGGAGATCATATGTAAAAAAATGGCGATAATTCACTCACCCTAACACATCAGAACACAACAAAGCAATACGAGATATAACATGATCGTATGTGTCCACATCATGCAGCTCACTCACTGTGACAGTCACACTCATGTATACATTGCAAAGTCCATGTCTGAAATGTGCAACATGAATTACTTTACTAGCACACTTGTCTTCAAGTGCACAGCCATCAGAATAGACTGATAATGGTGAGTAGGTTGCGTGAAAGAAGGGGAGACAAACAACCGTGTGATGGTTAATACAACATCCCACTGACAACAAGTTCTGCTCGCCTCTCCCACATAGAAATGTATCAGACATGCTTGAGTGACCAATCCTCTGTAGACTTCCCACACTTATCCATCTTATGAAGCTCCACACATGTGTCAACATATGCTGGAATGACCTGCTCATAGCTAAACTAACGCAATACACGATCTAACGAATGATGTTCAACAATGTCAAAACATATCAATGGAACACGTTCTTGCCATGTATCATAATGCTCTAGACCTGTCGGTAGCAAGTCCTCCAACATCGAGAGTGTATATGGCATCCATGTAATCTATTATATAAGAAAAATATTACTCCCACTCCTATTCATTTGATAGATAATGTTATACTATGTGCACCATACCTGATCATCCGGCATACGATCAAATGCATCCCTATAGTATCCGAGTCCAGCAGCCGATGATGTGCGAGAAAGATCAACAAATAGCCATATGACAAATCATGTAGTTATATTCATATAAATCCAAATAATACAAATATTCAACATAACATAAATAAAGACAGACTTCTAAAACATAACTACGCTCCAAAGGGTCCTCGCCACGTCGATGATGAAATGGGTTTCCATCTACCCCATGGTATTGTAGTATAACAGGCCGGCCTATGTGAATATACTCACATGACCAAGTCTGTTATAACAATAAAAAATCTATGTGCTCTCACTCCAACAACCTCGACACAACTGCCTATATAGATAAGCTAGAGTAGCATTACCCCGACTGAAGCCTACAATGACATCAAAACTCTCTAGCATTGACAAATACAACACCTGAACTTTACTACCACTCTTGTCAGCAAAAGTGGGAGCTCCCATCAACATCAGAATATATGCAAGGGAGTTTGGAGGAGCTTGGAGACCTGACCCGAGATCGGCTCTCCGATGTGCTGTCCATGCCATTTCCGAGTTAATCTTCGTCCCCTGCTTTGTTGTTGCTTTCGACTTTGCGGTCTTGCCTGTCAGTACTTCATGCAGCGTTGTCACTTTCATTTCAGGCCTTTGTGCTCGCTGCCTCCTGCTCCCATCGTTTAGACGAGGAGCAACAGGAGACCCAAGGTCTGTCCTCCAACCGGCCCAATCATAAGAAGATGGTGGCAGACCTGGAGGCCAGGCTGGCGGAGGTGGAGGTCGCCAGGGTCGCCGTTGTGTAGGGGGTCGGGGCCTGCAGAAGAAGCTGGATGACGCCGCCGTTGCTAACAAAGCCATAGAGGATGCGTGGAGATCCAAGGAGGAGGATCTGTCGAAGAAGGTGGAGGAGACTGAAGCTGCTGTCTTTCAGTGGAATGAGAGCGGACAATCCTAGTGATTCCAAAGTTACCATGCCTAGGTCCCCACAGCAGCAAGCCTCCTCTCATACCCCCGCTCCATCAATTCATGACCAACTTGAAGATTATGTCCTAGATGCATAATGGAATGAACTCATAGCAGAGTGTGAAGCAGACGACATGCAAATCACATCATTTTAGAGAGCTGCTGAACAGATGTGTTGCTGATCTGATTGGGTTCGAGAATGAAGAACTCAAAGCAAGGGAGAACTATAACCAAGCTCCAGCAGAGCTACCCAAGGTTATCAGAAGAACACGAACTCTTCCACTCACAAATGAGAAGACTTGGGAAAATATCATTATCACAGCCCCCTTCCAAGAGGAAATCAGAAAACATATACGGAGAAAACCTGAGAAGATCAAAAGAATCGATAAACTCAAAGCAAGAGGTGTTACCCATCTAAAAGGTAAGTTCGTACGAGGACATCTTAATATGCTCAACAACCAGTCAATGGGACGACAACACAAAGTTCTTAAGCATGATCTGACAACAAGCAAATTTTCCATTTGGGACATTTTGGAAGTATCTGAAGGAGATCACAGTGGATTCAAGTTCTCTATCTACAGGCTTCAATGTACTGATGGAACAGAATTTACCCGTCAGAAGAACGATTTATTCATGATCTATAGCAATGACATCTAAAATGTCAATGCTTGCAGGAAACTCCCCGTTAGAAAGAGCAAAGTCCTCAAAGAAGGGTATGAAGCAATTAGAAGGTTTATGTTGAGGCAAGTTCGAGTTCACACCATTCATGATCATCAGATGGCCCTTGAAAACAACATTCCAAAGGCAAATCTCACTAGGCCAAGATTACCCATTTATATATACAACTTTTATCAAATTTAATTTTTCTTGATCAGGTGACAGGTGGTATAAAATTTGTAATGTAGTTTATGAATATGTAAATTTTATTTACTAAAAATAATCGAGATCAGTTAACATTATGGTCAATCAAACGTCGTAAACGTGTGAGAACCTTTAAGTGGAACAGAGGAAGTAATTTGTAATATTTATAAATGCACTTCTATAATTTTTAATATCTATTTATAAATACGCTCCATAAATTTTAATATTTACAAATATACCCCTAGATCAGTATGTAACTTTGTTTGGTTTTATGTAGTAGGCGTATAGGTGCTACATAGGGAAATGGATATGGGTGCGGGGGCAATGCAAAACAAGTCTGCTCTGTCCTGTGTGCCGCAGTCGTCGTATTGTTCTATAAATTAGGCAGACGAGGCGGGCAGGCAAAATAAGAAGAGCGTGCCATACCCACCCAACAAGGAATTGAACTCAACAAACTCCGATCCCCCCACAATTACCAATGGCCCTGCCCTTCCTCCTCCTTCTCCTCTGTTTTTTTATCAGCAATGGCAATGGCAATGGCGGCGTGGCAGCCCTAGATCTGATCAACAAAACGTGCAAAGCAATCGCAAAGGCCGACCCCAACAACATCCAGTACGGCTTCTGCGCCTCCTCCCTCCACGGCGCTCCGGCCAGCGAGTGCGCCACGCTCCGGGGCCTTGCCACCATCGACATCAGGCTCATCCGCTACAACCTCACTGATACCAGGTGTTACATCAAGCATTTGCTGAAGACGAACCGCCACAACAGGGGCGGCCTCAGAATGTGTCTGGCCGATTGCCTCGACATGTACGCCGGCGCCATCCCCGACGCCAAGCAGGCCATGAAGGATTTCAATTCGCAGCGCTTCGCCGACGCCAACGTCCGCCTCTCCGCCGTCATGGACGCCGCCACAACCTGCGAGGATGGCTTCAGCGACATCAACGGCGTCGTTTCTCCCCTGACTAAGCGCAACAACGACACTTTTCAGTTGACTGCCATCGCTCTTTCTCTTCTCAATATCATCCAAACTACTGCCGCCCCCTAGCCAGCACCTTTTTCGCGCGCCTACAATTAAATTAAATTAATTAATTGTGCAGTGGATCATGGACGGATGGTGTTTTGATTTTGATGTATGTATCGTAGATCGCACTACAGTACTTCCTACTCCTGTTCAATCTTCATTTTTATGTATGTGTACTGTTATTATTATTCTTTGCAAGTAAGTACTCCGTATTAATTAAGGCAACTGCCCTTTGCTTCTTGAACTACCCCCAGTGGCTACAAAGAGGAATTGCATTGCCACTAACATGCAAACTATTCAGCCTTCTTTACACTTTTTATTTCAATTAATAGTAAAAAACCAAAATGTATTTAAGAAATTGCTGAGTAAAAGTGTTGTAAATTTCATAGTGAAATAGCTATATTTTTATTCTCTAAATAGAAGGAATTATTATCATGTTTTAGCATTACTAGACATTAAAGATGATACTCCGTATCATTTTTCAAATTTGGACGTAACTACTCTTATTTTGTGAATAGAAATATACTATCCTCCGTTCCGTTTTAATCGCAACATGTTGAATTTTACAATTTTACGCTATTATTTTATGAAAAATATTTTTTTTAAAAAATATTGTTCAATTCATCTCTTTTCAAATTTTCAAAATCTGATTTTTAATATTTTTTTACTAATAGAATTGAGATATAATTACGATCAAAGACGTGCGTTGGCAAATGTGAAATGTTGACAGTTGACCGTTGCAACTAAAAAAGAACGGAGGGAATACATATTTAGAAATTCTAAAAAGTTTTTGCTCATGTTTTGGGAACTTTCCCAATATATTTAGAACAGATCATTGTGATCTTAATCTCTACACTCCAATGCGTAATTCTTTAGCTTATGAAAACTCATATACTTGAGAAGTGAGTTAAAAGGAAATCATTTTACGGAATATATTTTAACATGCGACTGCATATAAGTAAAATTGCGTACACATGTGTGTGTGTGTGTGACGTTGTCATTAATAACTACTACGTACAATATATTAGTCTTTAACAATAAGATATCATCCCATATTAGGATGAACCTGAAAGAACCTAATCAAATATTAGTCTTGAACAATAATTTATGCTGGTATGTTGGGCCAAATCTATAAGGGTTGTATGCAATGCCTTCCGCAACAGCAGTGGCAGCATTGGATGCAATAAGATGCATGTATTCAGTGCAATATTGAGACGAAAGGTAACCAAATGGGAGAAAGTGGAAACCAAAGCAACTGTATAGCAATCAAGTACATTGTAAGAGCCTAATTACTAACTTTGAGCCTAATACAAAGAGTTTAGGCTCCCAAACAGCTTAATTACAACTTGTTAGGGTTTACAAGCCTCCCAAAAGAATATATATAGAAAAACATGGGTCAGATCGCTGATATGGCCCAATAGGCCCTACTACATAAAAAACAAATCTAATAGATACAAATGGATATGTAAATTGTGTGATATAATAAAATCTATTTACTAGACGTATGTAAATCACCGTCCAAGACCAATAGTCGTGAGATCGGTGGTCAGAGTCCCCCATTTTGAAATTTGAAGTAAAAGCTTGGACTCAATTAGAGATCTAGACTTCAGAATAACAATAGGCCAATGAACTGGGTGTGGATCAATTTTTTGCAAATGTCTCAAAATATCTATTTTGATCGTCCCATTTATAGGCTCAATCACAAACATTTGAGTCGCATCAAGCACTCGCACACTATTGAGCACAAATGTCCAAAGCTAATGGCCTTGTGGCCCTAATTGTTGACCATAAAAAAAAATTCATTATACGGTAAACGTGTACTCTGTCAAGCCTAAGTTTGTGGACAACTAATCGTCTCTATTTGATTAATCATACTCATAACTCAGTGCTTCTTATGAGTCCGGATTACTCGAACCTAATTACTTTCCTATGAGATGCAAGTATCACTATATTTGTGAAACTTGGTATTAAATCATTAAATGTGTCCACTAGAAGTCTAGAACTAACAAATTAAAAAAGAAGAAGAAATGATAATTACATGCTTACATTTTTACAGTCTTTGCACCTTCTTAATAAGCTTTGACGATAAAAGAACATTATTATTTACATTGTACCGAAGTGACAAACACTTCTCTTTGAAACTTTGACACCAACCGAAAATGCAGTGCCGTGCGACATTGAAGAAAAGGTAGTCCCAACTCCCAAAGCCTCATAGGCTGAGAGAGTGTTAGTTGATGGAATTGGATTCGTCAAAGTCATACTTTGATCACAAATGCTAATATCAGACATTAGGGAAGTGTTAAAACATAAGTCACGCCCAAACAACATTATGGGCCATGTTGTGAGAACATCACCCGAAGCAAATACAGAAAAACGAATGATTGCAACAGCATGAAAAATAAACCACGTCTGCAATATAAAGCAAATTACCAATGCAGAAAAACAGCTTACAGAATGAACAACTGTCCAGAATAATGATTATTGGATGATTTGGTTATGGATCAAGTTTCCACATTTCATGTTAATAAGAGGGATTGAACCCCATTCCCAAACTAAAACACCTTCCAGCTTAAAACCCTTAGCTTGACATTGGATGGTTATAAATATATTCAATTGCAAGTGAGCAAGAGTCGATCCTAACTGCTTCCTTATCTGGAATTTCCAGTTTGAACTCTTCCTCGAGAGCCATTACAATCTCAACAGTGTCTAAGCTGTCCAAGCCTAGATCATTCTGGAAATGGACATCAGGAGATACCTATAGACATTTGAAAAATTACATATGATAAAGAGCCCCATTTTAAATGGTAAAAAGCCCGGATGTAATCATGTAAATGCAGATATTTCTCGAGGATAAACAACAGACACATGCAAATGAATCACGCGAGGAATATGATCTAATTCCATGAAGCTGTAGCTTATGATCAAGGAGTTTAACCTCAATGGTTTTAATGCTTTTCTTCCTTGTATTTGGTCAAAGCATGAGTATCAATTAGAAGATTGATATTCACAGGGACATTATTGTCACAATTTTAAGTCTGCATCCTAACAACCTAATCTGTGAACCACTAACTCTCCAAAAACTAGAAATTACATACCAGACACAGCCACACAAGGACAAGACACATAGCGTGCCCTTGATGGATGCAGGGGTCAAATGTTTTAGGCATGGTCCAAATGTGATCAACAAAACTGACTCTGGAAAACTTAATTTTTTCAACATGTCGTTGATTTTAGTGCTTTCACTGGCAACAGAGTCAATAGGCAATATGACAACATGCATAAGGGACTTGATGCATGCATAGGAGGAGCATGAAGCACACTCCAGCGTACTATAAGGGTCCGTTTGGATGGATGTTTTTGGATGGGTTTGGAGGGGAAGACTGGCGACAGTCTATGTGCACACTTAGCCCTCCAAAACTTTATCCCTTCAGTTGCCTTATTCTTTCGATTTTTATTAAACTTACAGTATATATATATATAGATATACACTTAGGACTCTAAAATTCCTAAAAACCTACTCCTAAACAGAACCTAAGGATTTTGTAATGCACTAGGTGTTGGTGAAAATATTATTTCTGGCAGTTGTAGTTTGATGGCATTGATGTTGTGACCACAACATTGTCTCGGGCATTATGAAATACAAGAGCACCCTTCCCAAACTCATCTATATTACTCACTTGAGCCAATGTGCTCTCTTGCTTGCACGAAGAGCACATTCTATTTATGGAGGCAATACACCTCATTCTAGAGTTTTGAAAGGTATTAAGTAATGAGAAGAACCAGCAGACGACTTCCAACCTTAGTTCAGCAATTGGCCAAAGGGAAACCGCCAAAGGACTATACCAGTAAGCATGGTATCTTATTCTACAAGCACCATTACCAACTGCTCCTACATCCTCCTTAATTTAACTTTGTTTTTATTGCATGATTTACATTGTTAAAAGATGGTGGACGTAAAACTGGCGTGTATATACACTTAGGAAAAACTGGCGTGTATATACACTAAGTGTTAGGAACCTCAACCAAACGGTAAAACTGGCGTGTATATAAGAAAAAGAAAATAATGAAAGTAAAGCAATACAGGCGGCAAGACACTTCGAGTAGTCCCCTCTCCCAGTCTAATTCCAATTCCTGCCTGCCCTTTTCTGCTACTCCCAACTCCTATTTATAATATTTTCCTTATGGGCCAGCCTAAAGCTAACTAATACCAGGCCCCAGACCCTCTAATACACTTATACATTACTACAAATATTTAATATTACTCTAATATTCACTATGGGTCATCCTGAAACAGTCTCTCTGTACTTTATTACAGGGGTAAGGCTGCGTACATCCGACCCTTGCGGCACTGGGGTAATGACGATGACTCTAATATTCTTATTATTATTCTCCTCAGCCCATGATCATATCATATCTCCCCCTTGGACAACCACCTTGTCCTCAAGGTGGGTGATATGAAACAGCCTTGACCTTCAGCTTCATCGTCATCCTTGCGACTCTACCTTCCCAGTATTTCACGGATTTCTGAACCCTGCACTTCATTACTTGAACCTTCATGATCACTTCACTCACGTGAGCAAACCAGGCCTTTGCAATTATACCAAGCAGGGATGGAAAGGCAATGGTAATGATCTTAGTTTGTAACGCATAAGAAAGCCCTCTCAGCAATTCCAGTACCTCCAGCTTGGCCTAGGCATTAACCTCATGATTCCTTGCTAATTCTTTCTCCACACCCATTGTGGTAACCCATTCCTTCCCAAACTTATTTCCCATTGAATCCACAGCAGGTTTCAGCCCTTTAATTTGACCTTCCCCAAGGGTCCCAGCCCAAACAAAAGGAATAAAACGCTTCCCATTAAACATCACTGCCTGATGATCTCAAGCGTACAAAATCTCCCCTTTAGGCCCTACAAGTGGAGCATTCGTGACCTTTACTCTTGAAATAAACGGCATGAATTCTTCATTTCTTCTGCAACAACTAATGCTAGCGTCTAGCGCATTTGCTGCCCTCTCAACCTCTGCATATGCTTCTTCCAATTGAACCCTCTTGACACTTCCTTTCCATAAAGACTCTCTATACATTTCAGCTAGCCTTTCCCATGTATATCTTTCCACCAGGACAGATGTGATCCTGTCTTTCGACAGCGATCTTGAATTTTTCAGAATCTATGGATTTCCACGCAACCTGAGTTCTTCCGAGATTAGCCTTCCCTGTCAACTGTTTCTCCTGACCCTTTCCCATCCCTTCAATGATCTGTTTTTGGAAATTAACTTCTATATTTCCCAGACTGGATAACCACTCCATACCCCGAATCAGATCAGTGCCTTCCAATTCCAACAAGTAGAAGTCCCGTATAATCATGAAGTTCTGGACCCAAGTTTCCAAGCTTTCGCAGATGCCCCAATGAGAAATTTCTTCTTCATTTCCCAACTCAACTTGGAATCGTCTCTGTCCCCCCTTCCATGTCTGGCTTGATCCGGGATTGCCCCTCCCTTGCTATCAGATATTACTTTGTCCCCAAATGTCTTGTGACTTGACTTTCTCCTCCATTTTAGGCCTTCACCTCCATTCAGTGGTTTGCTCGACATACCCCTCTTGTTTTTCCACCCTCTTTTCTCCTTAATAGCAGCATTTTTTTCTTCTGGGAGCAGGGCCCTGTCCATCAAGTCAGCCAAATTTCATGCATGATACAGTTTCAAGTCTGCTCTAATCTCTTCCCGTAATCCATTCATGAATATACTTTTAAGCATCTCAGCTTGCATCTCTTCCTTTAAACTATTAATAAAAATGTCTTTGAACAGATCAGAATCCTTGAATCTCATGCTATCACCAATTCATATATCTCTTCATCTGATGCCTTTTTGTTCAAGTAATTTTCTAAAATTGGGAATAGCAGGGAGACATTTTTATTTCCCTGCTTGTTGATAATCAGTATACCCGTATTCATCATTCCTTCCCTAACATCCACATTAGGATCAGTCAGCGCCCTTGATGTTAGGAATGTCACGACAAAAGGAAGATCTTTGGTTCTAAGCACATCAGAAACAGAGTGTGAAGCCCATGCAATCCCTTGGCTGCTTATCCAACCATCATCAATGATGTCCTCATCAAGTCCAGCATCACGAATATACAATGAAAATAATGTTGATAGAGACTCCGGAATTGTATCAGGGTTATCATCTAGAGCTGCAGCAATTGCTTCAGCAGCAGCAACTTTAATGTTAAAATTGATGTTCGAAAGCGCTTTGAAGATTCGTGAATTATCAGTCCCTAATTCATATCCATAGTGATCCCATATGTCCTCTGCAGCTTAAGCAATTGTCTCTTCAAGCAAAGCAGGCTTTGAAAGTGAGCTGGCATCGGCCTTAACATTTTCTGCTCCTTCCGGATCATCTGTTGGACATCCCGTGGGTTGAATATCATCATCTGGATCTGGTTGACTGGTTCCTTGATAGATGGTTCAGCCGGCTTCAACTCAGAGTTCATTTTCAGCGATGCAGTCCCTGGCAAATAAACTTGAGCACTGTGATACTCGGAACCCTGATATGAAAGCTGCGAGCAAGGGCGATCGGTTTGAGAGTGCAAACTGGGAGAGACGATTTACGAGTGTGATCTGGAAGAGACGGTTCGCGAGTGTGAACTGGGAGAGTCGGTTCACGAGTGCGAAGAAGGAGAAGTCGTTCGCGACAGCGAACCAGGACAAGCAACGAACGATGATGCTGGAACCTTACTTTCTGACGGTCAACGGCTCCTGACTGTCCTCGATCGACCTCGGGATCGCCTGCGACGAAGTTGAAGCAACCTATCGCACATCCAGTCCTGCAACTCGTTCATCCTCGTTCTCATCTCCTTCAAATGATTTTCAATATTGTCCATACTCTTCTCCATCCGCGGTGATGTACAAAATTCCTCCATCTTTCCAGCACGTTGAAGCTCTGAGATGATCGATTCTGACTCCAGGAGCAATTGCTTTGATACCAATGTTAGGAACCTCAACCAAACAGTAAAACTGGCATGTATATAAGAAAAAGAAAATAACGAAAGGAAAGAAATACAGGCGGCGAGACACTTCGAGCAGTCCCCTCTCCCAGTCTAATTTCAATTCCTGTCTGCCCTTTTCTGCTACTCCCAACTCCTATTTATAATATTTTCCTTATGGGCCAGCCCAAAGCTAACTAATACCCGGCCCCAGAACCTCTAATACACTATTACAAATATTCATTATTACTCTAATATTCTTATTATTATTTTCCTCAGCCCATGATCCTATCAACATGAAGCCATGTGGGTGTTATATGCACTCTCTCATGTAAGCGCATTGCAATTTTCATTGGCCCAAGATGCCGCACATCATCAAACATATGCATATACAAACCCACGTGTTAGCTGACGATATATCACACCAAGGCACTTACTATTTCATTGTGGGATGCCATCTTCTCATGGACACTATACTGTTATGGTGACCAACTCAATAAGTATGCTCATTTTGGAGATCTTCCTGCTATCATCAACGTTTTCTGGTGAGTCACTTGTTCGTAGATATTATGTTTTATTTCATGGATAACCTAAAGTGGTTAATTCAAGTAGAGACTATCTCTTAATTAGCAAACTTCAGAGTAAGTTCTTTGAGTTCATGGAGTTCGAATTGAAGCAAAGTGTGACCTATCTCCCGGAGGCCTGGATTGATGCGCAGACTGGGGTGGTTAATCAGGGCTCAAACAAACATTTACATGCTGTTGAACGAAATTGAGAGCAAAACTTTGTTTTGAACTCCACATACTTGTTTTGATTTCTTGAGTTGGGCAGAGATTTGTTATAACACTAACTTCAATGAGAGCATCCATATGACTCCTTTCAAGACCTTAGGGACTAAACCACTAAGAGACGTCTGCCTCCAGTTATTTCCCACAGACAAACAAAATCCACGGATACACAAGCTCTGGATGCTCCTGTCATGAACAAGAGGGAGTTCTTTGTTTGTTTAAAGAATCATTGCGGCAAAGACAACATTGCATGACTCAGAAGGCCGATAGACACTGGTGTGAAGTGGTATTCTGTGTTAGCAAACTAGTCCTACTGAAATTACAAACTTTTTGACAGGTATGTGACTGCCGATGCTTCTATAAATATCCAAGTGATATTTAGGTCCTTTTGAGGTACTAAAACAAATTGGACAAGTAACAGTTACCAAGTTACCCCTAGATTCCTAGAAGCCTAGCAATCATCCTGCTTTTCACAAAACGTGGTTGCGTATTACAGGAGACCCATCATACGACTCATGGGGAAATTTAGAGTGATGCTGCAACACATCCTAGTACGTCTTGTGGTACCTGGATGATTCTACAAAAATGTTCTTGGAACACTAATGTACCAGGGTTTACGCCTTGAAGACAAGGTGTTTTCCAAATTCAGGAGAAGAGCAGGGGCTGGGAGTGATAAAAGTGCTTCTGCTGGTGACGAAGTCAGCAACCAAGATGGTAACATACTGACATACATGGGGGGCCTATTCGCATGTCTAGGGAAACGCACATAAAGCACACTCCAGCATACTACATGGATATTGTAATGCATTACTTGTTAGTGGCAATATTACTTTCTTTAAAAGTTTTATGAGTTGTACCAATCCCTATATTTTAGGATTGCTCTTAACATTTGAAGCCATTTATTTTGCGACTTATACAATCTTAGGCATTATGAAACACATGATAATTCTTCTCGAACTCCCTATTCTACTTCTGACTTGAATTTCTTATCGGGGAATACCCTTAGTAAGATATAGAATTCCGTAAATAAAGCCGTGTTTTTGTAGTTTCTGGTTGAATTTGATTTAAAATTTTATCATTATAACTGCGACAACATACCAACTAATATGATATAATAACGGTTTCTGGAAGCAGAAATAGAAAGGAAGGGATAATTATAGATTTGATACCTTGGAAGGGTCGACTTTGGGGTAGTTCTTGACGACGTCTAGAACTCTGTTGGAAACTTGCTCCCTGCTTAAGTGGTCGTCATGCGACGACATCCATCGTCTGGAGACCAGCCGCGAGCTGTTGGATGATAAGGCTTCGGTCACCGGTAGTCGGACGTGTCGGAGTACTGCAGCCCTCAACGCCGATGCCATTTGTCTTCTCATTCGGTTGTCTCGCTCTTTGGGACTGAACTTGTTTAGGGCTGTAAAAAATGATGTAGTGTTTTTTGGCAAAAAAATGTAGTAAAAAAATTGTTTCAAATACCCGTGCCCCTACAGTGGAATCCAAAAAGTGGAATCCAAAAAGTGGAATCTCAGCCATTCAGTCAACGAAGTGACAGTAGACTCGTATACTCGTGTGTGTTAGAGGTCCAGCCCATTTCAGATGATGTAATCTCCACACGGTCGCTACGGGATTCGAACCATGGTTGCCTTGATCCAAATTCCCACCACTCGACCAACTGAGCTACTCGTGCGAGTAAAAAAAAAGTTTCTTGATCAGGAAGGGTTTATTTAGGGGTCTAACTTGCGTACATTAAAATATAAGACACTGTTTGATGACACTGTTTTTTAGTTTATCAGACTTATCTGCCAACTTTTTCACCAAACGCGTAACTTTTGTTTTCGCGCGCTGAATTGTGTATAATAAGAAAATGTAAGGTTGTAGTTACTTTCTGGCTGTATTGGCTTAACTTACTGTAGATGACCATTTTAGCTATTTTTACATATATATTTTCTTTATTTTATTAATAAAATATATTTCAAAAATAATTTTTACTTAAATCAGCAGAATCAGCCAATGCAGCCACTTTAGCCAGAACTTCATAAATTTCGAAAATTCAGCCAATTTTCGTGTTACCAAGTAGGCTCTAAATCTAGAAACATTTGATAACACCCAAATTGATTGAATTGACTGATTATACTGATTTTTAAAAAAATTATATTAAAAAACGATTTTAAGAATAAAGTGAAGAAAAATTTAAATGAAAAGACAACTAAAATGATCATCTACAGTAACTTCAGTCAATACAGTTAGAGAATTAACTTCAACCTTACTTTTTCTTATTATTACACAATTCAGCGCGCAAAATAAAGAGTTACGTGTTTGGTGAAAAAATTGACTAATAAGCCTGATAAGTCGAAAAACATGATCACCAAACAGGCTCTAAATGTAAATTATCTTATATATATGAGAAAATACACACACACACCAAACAGGCTCTAAATGTAAATTATCTTATATACATACATACATACATATATATATATATACACACATACAGATATATATATATCTTATGCAGCATGATCGACCCCTCAACGCCATCGTGTCTAGTTCACGGTCAACCCCTCATCGTCGTCGTGCTCAGTTTACGGTCGGGCTCGCTCATTCCCTTCAAAGGATGGGACTGCCCCTTTATGCAGCACGATTGACCCCTTAGTGCCATTGTGTCTAGTCCCGGTCGAGCTCGCCCATTCCCTTCTGGGATGAGGATCGTCGTTTTATGCAACATGCTCGACCCCAGCGTCGTTGTGCCTAGTTTACGGCCCGGCTCGTCCATTCCCTTTCGGGATGGGGACCGCCGCCTAATGAATCATGCTCGACCCCGCAGTGTCGTCGTGTCTGATGCAAATGGTATACATCATACCTGATACATCATATCTCATACATTGCACTCGTACATTACATTCATTCACGCATTCATACATCACATCTCATACATTCATGCATATACACACACATTATGTTCGCCCTGTTAAGGTCCTAGGGTAGCAAACTCAGGTCGGGGTCCTTTACTCTCGCCTGATATAGTCAGGGAAGAACGTTCGGGGAAGAGCATCCCTCGCCGAGCCAGTCATGAGGGAAAGCGTCTTGCCGACATCTAATGTTCAAAGGGGCAGTCACTTGCTCATCTAGCAGGACTACTCGAAGACACAGATTCAAGGAAGATAAAGGAAGAGCGCGAGCAAGAGTATACTTTCTCAAGTATATTCGCACACTCACTACTCAAGAATTCGAGGGACTTGTGTTGAGGTATATTATCTCGGTCTACTACAGATTAGGAGTCCAACACATTACCCTAGTATGGAGCCCAATCGATGAGGCCTATTTCGGCCCACCCGGCCCGCTTTAGCCCATGCGACCCATTTCGGCCCATATGGACCATTAGGGTAGCTTTGCAACCCCTCCCTCTTCTCCTATTTAAAAGATGTTTTCCCTCCATTTAAGGGGGTGTCTCTTTAGATGTTTCTTCTTCCCAACTCTACTTCTCTCTCTAGAATAACTTGAATACTTCATTAGTGGGAGCTTGTATTATGTAATAATGGTGAGGAGAGCATTGGTGAGAATGAGAGTGGCTTGGATATTACCCCAAAAAGTCATGTGGTTTTCTCCCTTTCGGATTTCCACGTTAAAATAGAGTGTTCATACATAGTTATACATTTATTTACCCCACTTGTTTTGGTGGTTTGCCCACTCGGCTAAAAAAATACATTTATTTACATAGTTATGCATTTATTTAAAGGGCAGTTCGTATCAGGCCGGCCTGACGGGAACCGCTGTCAGGCCGAGGCCATTTGGGGCCCTTCCCGGTAGAATAGTTTGATGAAATGTATTTAGCATGATCTTCATCAAGTATAGTTTATGCATATCAAATTTAAGCTAAAAATTCAATCGGGAAGACATTGAAATAAATTCATTACAAAATATGTGCATTATGTGTGTGTGTGTCTCCTTATATAAATTGCGTAAGGAAGTTAGTTTGGGCATTTTTACGTTACTACAGCTCCAGATTGTTAACGTCGTTTACTGCTCTCCCTATAGAAATGAGTGAATGATGATTTTCCCATTTCATTCCCCATTTCACTCTCTCAGCGTTGTGAGGACTGAGGCATCTTCCGCCAAGCTACGGTTGCGACAAGCTAGGGTTGCGAGGAGTCTTCCCCCAACCCGAGCGTGAACTGAGGGACGTTGGAGATCGCATCATCCCTTACGTCTTTCGCCAACCCTTCCGCCCAGTCTGGGGAGGAGTATCAAGCCACTCCAATATCAAGCCACTCCAATAATCATCGATTGAACTTTAGCTAAGATTTATTCTTCCCTTTTAATTTGCTCTTATCTTTTAATTTGCCTTCTCTGATTTCTATTTTGTTTCGTTTTCATGGTAAGAACGAAAGAGCAACTCGGGTGGTTCTCATGGTTTTTATTATTCTTGTTGGATAAGGTATGGTGAGATTTCTGAATTTGCTTGGGTGCGTTGCCAAAAGGTTGTCTCAAATCGATGGGATTTCTGCTAGATTATAATTCAAATACAGAATTTAATTAAGACCCATGTTCCCCAACACAAAGCAAGTGCCGCTACAGAGAATTGTAAAGAAAATGAAATACGAATTGCAAGAGTTTCACAAATCTAGCTCAAGATCGACTTCTCTTTAATTGTACCGTAAACTTCTTGTTTCTTTTGTGTGTGTGTGTGTGTGTGTGTGTGTTTCAATCAAGATACTTACTACCTACATCTCCTTTAATTTATAACTTTGTTTGTGGCTTGAAATTGATTCAGGCATCTGTTATTGTTCTGTGCCTACCCTCACAGTGGGCTTTTAGCAGAAGAGCTAGCAGTTACCTGCTTCGGCAAGTAAGTATCGTATTCGAGCATGTGACCTGTTAAAGCATATTTTGTTGTGTATCAAGTTTGTCATACGTCTTGTAATAGCTTAGCCTTTATTATACCTTGTGCATTTATACTTTGTATTTATTAGGGTATAAAGGATATGGGGCCAAAGTGTCAGGCCCATATACCTGGCTGGAGGCCTTTACGCAAACCTGCCTGCGCATATAAATAGGCGCTTAAGGTTTAGGTTTGCGTTAACTTTGGCATTCGAACTATCAGCCGTAGAGCTCATCCTTCTGTAATCGTTCACGGTATATCAAAGAGGGTTTCACTGATCATCTTCTTCATATCATTATCTAATCCCTTGTTTGTATTATTGTGTTTATTATATCATTGTTGTTAGATCATTATCTTTGAAATAGGGACCAACATTTGGTATCAGAGCCGATCGAGAGTTCATCGATGAAGAACTGCTCTGTTATTTTTCGTTTCTTTGACATCCTTGTATATGCCTCTATAATCTCTTTGTTGATCAAAAATCTGTAAAAGTTATACTGTTAGAATCGCCATCTTCTAACGATTATACAACATATCTTATCTTTTCATTTCCGCAACTTTTCATTTTGAAAGTTTTCGATATAGGCTTCTCGAGATCGTGCTTTCGACAAGCTAAGTCTGCTCAAACAATTTTGGCTTGAAATCTTTACAGGGCTAATCGTGGGATCAAGGGCTATTCAGAACAGATTTCTTTTTCCAAAAATTCGATAATTTCTACTTGCAGGATTTCGATATTCAGGACTTCGATACTAGGTTCTTGAATTATAATTTCGACATCAGCATCTCGAGATCAAGATCTCAAAACTTGACTTCTCGAAATCTGAATCTTGATAAACAGGTTTTCGATATCTTGTTTTCGAATCAAGATCTCGACATTGAGATCTCGAAAAACAGGATTTCGACATCTTGTTTTCGAATCAACATTTCGAAATCAATTTCGACATTTCACTTCTCGATAGACTGATTTCGGCATTTTAAATCTCGAACCTCAACTATCGAAATCTAGGATTTCGAGGTTTTCACTTAGAATTTTTTTTAACTCTCGAACAATCAACCCCTTTTACAGCAATGTCGTCATATGCTATTGCACAAGGAAACAGCAGTACCCCTCCGGTTCTAAGGAGAAGTGAATATCAGATGTGGAGGAATCGTTTCTTAATCTTCCTTGAACATAAAGACAACTCCGCTGCAATGCTTGAATCACTCCTTCAAGGACCTGCTGAGTTGTGGATTTCAGTAGGTGGAAATGAAGAGAATAACCCTCCTATCATTCCTGAAAGGAGACTGAAAGTTCCATCAGAACATACCGAAGCAGATAAACTAAGGCTGAAAGCTAATCTCATGGCAAAGACATACTTGCTCCAAGCTATCCCAAACGAAATCTATGTGTTGATTGATAGCATGAAAACTGCAAAGGAGACGTGGGACGAAATCAAGAAACTGCTCCAAGGCACAGGCATCCACTAGTGTAGAAAACACTTTCTGTATGGGTTAAAAAACACTTTTTATGTCGGTTCCCGTAACGACATAGTAGCCAGCGATATAGAAAGTCGGGCACTTTTCATGTCGGGTAGTCGTACCCCTTATAGAATGTTTTTTA